AATTTGAGCATAAAGATTTAGATGTCATTAACGTAAAATTAATGTTTTGAAATTAATTTAAGTTTTGCCAATTTAGAAAATAAAATTAAATAATAAAAAAGTGTCCACTCGGGGGTTTGAACTCGGAACCCTTCGATTCGTAGACAAGTACTCTAAATTTTCGTTATGAAGACTTATAAAAAAGTTTTACTTTTTAACGCTGATAATCAGACTGTTTTTAGTTTCATTAAAATCTCAGTTTATTTATAAATATAGACGAATATCTTGTGGAATGCTATTATTTATTGATTTTTTACAAGAATCACTAATTTTTATTTATATTTAATCTAAATAACTAAAAAAATATATACTGACAATTTGACGGAATTGTCACTTATAAAGTTCTAACATCTGATGTAGAGGGCGTATCTAACCAGTAAATAAAATCGTTAGTTCAATGATTGTACCAATAGATGTCGGGCGCGATTGCCTCCAATAACTTTTACATGGCGATTATCCTACTATAGTTCTTTATACAATGATACAGATACGTAGCTTGTCGTAGCAGTCTTATTCTTTGAAAGCAATTTTAAAGGGTATTTGTTATATTTAAGAACAACATTTTTTATATAAAGAAAAGCATTTCTTGAATAAAGCAGTTGTTAAACATTTATTAAATAAAGACATACATCTTTTAAGTAAAGAAATACGTTTCTTAAATAATGAAATACAGTTTTTAAATAAATAAATTAATTTCTTAAATAAAGAAATATATTTCTTGAATAAAGAAATACATTTCTTAAATATATTCCTTAAATAAATAAAAAAATACGTTTCCTAAATAAAGAATTATAATTTTTAAATTTAAATTAAAAAAATATAAAAGTTTTAAAATACAAACATACTTTAAAAATCGCCGGGTACCTATGTTTTAACTTTTTTTTATCGCACCTTAAGTGCAATTAAATTTGAATTTTTGTTCCTTCCTTAACACTGTGATTATTGTAATGCTCATAAGAACAAAAATTTAGTGTTTTTGTTTTATATAACAAAAAAAAGAATCGTAGGATACTTAAGCAAATTATTTCTCATGTTAACACTATCGAGCTTGATTTGAAATTAATTTTTAAGAAAATATCTTGTTTTACTGGAAATGTTTATTCAAAAGTTATATGTTCAATTTAAACTTACATTATCAAGCAAATTTTATTTCTTGATAATAATAATAATAATAATTTTTTGTGTGTACGCACACACGATCAGAATTTGGGTAAAAACTTATTGTGTTGCTAATTTTATGATAAAGGTTAGTATATATTTGGGCAATTTTATTGTTTTTATTATTTGTATTGTACCATTAAATATATTATTTTATTTATAAGCATATATCTGATATTTTCTATACTAATTTTTAAAAAGAAAATAAATTATTTTAATTTTATACTAGTTTACTTGTTGCCCTCCCTGTATATTTTTCTTAATAATTCTTCCTGATGATCGTGCTCGATCTCCTATATGTCGGCTGTCATAATTTCGTCCTTTTTGAAATTTACTACAAACTTTTATTTTAAATTCACTTGTCGCAAATAAACACGAGTTAATTAATTCTAATAAATTCATGGAAACTGGAACAACTTCATCAATCTAAAATGGCAGATAAATGCCCACGTATTTCGATTTTTTAATCTATTTCGCTCATTACGCTTATTTAGATTCAATTGAATTGAAATTCTTGTTTAGTTGCAGTTGGCATTCCTCGTGGATTAAGAAAGATTTAGTCGTGTGTCAGTCATAATTATTCTCTTTATTGTATTTGATTATGATAACTCAGGATTGTATTTTTACGGTGTTCGGAATGTAAATTGTTTAATATTTTCCGTTAAAACAGTTTAGATTTGACGTTTGCAGTTATTTTAAAGTCTATAGTTTGATCAGTGCAGTGTATACAAGGATATCGTAGTATGTACCCCACTTTTAAAATTTATTCTTAATTTTTGATAAACGAATAGTATCATATGTAACAATGTTGGAATGAAAATTCGATACTCGTGGAATACAAGACAGACCACAGATACAGTAGAAGTTGAATATAGTAAAAATAAAATTTTAAACAAAATGAAATATTTATTTTAACTTGTGTTGCGCAAGTTTTTGCATAATTTGCATAATTTGTCCATTCAGATGGAGCATTATCAAAGTCCATATCAAAATCATTATATTCATTAATTTTTGAATTCAAATTTGACTCAACAAACGCCACATACCTTTATTCAGGCAAATTCAAACTAAATAATATGTCGCATAGAACTGTCAATCATAAAATTAATGGCTATCTACCATGTGGGCCTGGTATTCACAGCTATTGGCCAGGAATTATTACAAAATGAACATTCTGTCACTAGAGTTAGAATGAAATACGTGTAAAATACATTGGAGGCAAGTGTTTCACAATTTTCTTTTAAACTCAAGAGCAATAATGTTTTATTTGTGTTATTATTACTTACCCAATTTTACTCTATTAGGTATTCCAACGACCTGTCATAATACTGTCTGTGAATAATGACCAGTTTATGATATGGCAACCCTGTGGGCCAGTGGTCTTTGCTAGCGGCCATATTGCCTCGCAAGTGCTCATTAATCAGAATCGGTTTAGAAAAAATGTGTTTTAAAACCAATTTTCAGCCTTAGAATAAAGTAAAAAAAATATTACTTACATTTTTACTTCAAGACATAGGCTTATGTTTATTTTGAAAACATTGATGATCAATCTATATAACTATCTATTTCATTAACCCTGTCAAATCACCAAGCCCTACATACTTTGATGTAATCAAAGTATGTGCCAAGCCCACAGAGTTGCTATATCATAACCTGTTATTACCCGCCTGTAGCCATTTTGTTTTAAATGCCTAATACCAACAGGGAAAAAAAGATGAGCTAAGGACAGCAAACAAAAAGCGGATCTTTCTACATAACATCTAGAGAAAATTTTTCAATCAAATAAATCACATATACAAAATAATCTAGAGGAAACATCAACAGAAGATGAAGAGGGGACAAAACGTGCTACCTCAAAAGAAGTTACTAGAGAAGTTAAATCCAACATCAATTCAAAAAAGACTCCTAAATACGATCTCATAACAGAAGGAGTACTGAAAACAACTCCCAAGAAAAGGCATTGTTAAAATATTATAAAATGTATAAATACAAATTGACTCAAGTTTCGCAAACTATACAATTAATTACCCCAAATGTAAACTGCAAACTATTAAGTACCTATAGAATGAAAAATTACATTTACTCACCAAAAGTCATAAACAGTATTATTTACTCACAATCAAAAGGTGTACAATATTATCAAATATATACTAATATACCTTTTTCGTAAAGAGTTGAACTGGTAGCTTCTCAAAGTTGAATAAAAAGCAGGAAAGTCCACAGCAACCACTCTTGAATAATCCACTTCAACTGTGAAATACCGATGGATATATAAAACAGCGAACTAATAACTCAAAATCTTTTAAAATTAGTCATACTTATAATTTGTATGTCTATAGATCCCTTTAGCGTATGTGAAATGGGTCAATATACCATGGAAAATTCATCTAACACACTTAAATTTTCCCAAAAATTTAAATACCCGTACATTCACATTTTTGAAACCTAGAAATACCTCTACATGAGGAGACTAATATGATACGTAAATTTTTCCTTTCTCGACCATAAAGAAGGTACCTTTCTCTTCCTTTTCCAACCTCGAAAAGGAACCTAACCAAGAAAACTAACCACGTTGTCTTGTCTACCGTTTTAAAAAATGACAAGCCAAGTGTGATCAGAAATTTATCCTTAATGGTTTACCAGTATACATTGCGCGTCAGAGAAAAGGGGCCACCTAAAAACTTTACGAAATAATTCATCTTTCTAAATATATCTTATTTTTATAATAATAAAACAATTGTGTATTAAGTCAGTAATTATTTTACCATGTTATCCGATGTTGCCATAAGTCACAAACGAAAAGTTGAGAAATCATAAATTTATTGAAAAGTTACAGTTACAGTTTACTCTGCAATTATTAAACTAAGGAGGCAAGAAATGGCGAGGATCACTTTTCAATACGACATATTGCCACCACGATTCTGAGTGACACTCCTCATTCGATTTGGCATAGAAATCAGCAAGGTCTGAATGTTTGCTTAAGAAAAAGTGGTCCATTCCTCAACAAACCCAGCATATGACATAACATGCTCTTCTAGGATCTCTGTTATGTATCGTCGTGATGTTAAAGAAATTCCTGTCCAAAACGTTACTGACAGAGATAAGGGAGATAAAGATAGGAAACGCTCATAAGAAGCCAATGCTTAATAACGACCAGCTTTAACGCAGTTTACATCTGACCCACTATTTGGCGCTGTCATCGATTTCAAACAAATATTGCAGCGGGAAATTTAAAAATCTGATAATTAAGGTTGTATAAATATCGAGTGCACTCTCATGTTCTGTAGCAGCAGGCTTAAACAAGAGAATGTTGTTAGTTGTCAGTTGTGAACGCTGTCAAATAAATTACTCATTACTTGCATTCGTATTATTATTTTTAATAATATAATATTACATGGTGTCAGAAGTGAGATCCCCAAAATGAATGATGAAACTAAAAAGGAAATTGATAAATTGCGTGAGCAAATCGAAGAATTAACCATAATGAATCGCCAAATGATTGCATCCAAAACAGTAGCAACACAAGCGATCCCAGTTATCGACCCTCCGAAAGCATTCAGAATAGAGAATGATCCAGCAAAAGATTGGAATAAATGGATACAACATTTCGATATGTACGAAAAAGTGACACAGTTGCACAAGAGGGATGTAGATCAACAAATATCTACATTTATGATGACAGTAGGAACTGAATGGTTTGAAACATTTAACAACTGGCCTATCGAAAAAAAGCCTCAGTGACTGATCTTAAGCTAGCCTTTAAAGAGTTGTTCGTGCCAAAAATAAATACTGCTTATGAAACAATGATTTTCAATAGAATGGCTCAAGAAGAAAATGAAACCTTCAATTGCTTCTTCACCAAAATAGAAACACAAGTTAAAAAGTGTAAATTTAAAGACATGGAAGAAAGAATATTAAAAGATAAAATAATCATAGGTATACGAAATGAAAATCTAAGAGAGAAACTATTATCTATGGATGAACCAAGTTTAGCACAGACGCTTACTTTATGTAGAAATAGCGAAATTAGAAGCAAGCAAATGGAAACGTTAAAAAATGAAAATATAATTAATGTTAATGCTATCAAAAACTACAAAAAGTGCCAAACGAGTCCTTCGACTTCCTCTGAAACTTTTGAGTGCAGACGTTGCGACACAACCCATGGTCGTAAACAATGTCCTGCCTTTGGGAAAAGATGCAGAATTTGTAATAATATCGGACATTTCACCAAATGTTGCAGAAAGAGACAGAAATCGGAACAAATTAAACATGGCCGGAAGAGAGAAACGAGAACGAGAGTGAACGTGATTGATACAGACAGTGAAATATCTGATTTCACCCGATCCTCATCTCAAGACACTTCAGATGAAGACTTTTTTGTCAATGTCATCCTAAAATGCTCAGAGATCAGGGCAACAAAAACTAAGAAAGAAGATTTCATTGAAACTATCAAAATAGGTCGTCAGCTAATAAACATCATTTTTGACACTGGTGCCGAATGTAATGTCATATCTGAAAAGTTAATCAGAGATCCCAGCAAAAATATTAAAACTTCGGGTACCAAAATGTTAAAAGGGTTCAATAATGCAAAGTCCGAGGTTATTGGCGAGATTACACTGCCTTGCGTCATCGACGACAAGAAAATGAAAATACTTTTTAAAGTAGTGAAAGAAAACATCTTACCGGTGATTGGAAAACACACTTGTGTCAAGCAAAATCTGGTAGCACGAACATCTCAAATTAATAGTATTCAAATCAATGAAAATCATCAAATATTCAAAGGGTTAGGATGCATAAATGACTTTGAATACAAAATAGATATCAGACCGAATGCGGAATTTCAAATTCGTCCTTCCCGAGTAATACCACATGCTATAAGAAACCAAGTAAAGTCAGAACTTGAAAATATGATTAAATTAGGAGTGGTTCGAAGAATTAATGAACCTACACCAATTGCCAGCCCTATGGTAATAGTAAAACAAAAGAACAAGCTAAGAATTTGTCTTGATCCTTCAGAACTCAATAAACAAATACTTAGGCGGCATTATCCTTTAAAAACAGTGGAAGAAATTGCTAGCAGAGTTCAAGGTGCAAAATATTTCACACTTTTGGACTGTGTAAAGGGTTTCTGGCAAATCAAAATCGCCCCAGAATCAGAAAAATACCTAACATTTAGTACTCCTTGGGGTAGATATTGCTATAGAAGGCTACCTTTTGGACTGTGTTCCGCACCAGAAATTTTTCAACAGTTACTGGCTAACCTATTGAAGGATATACCAAACGTTGAAAATTCCATGGATGACATACTGATATATGCCGAAACAAAGGAAAAAAATATGCAGATAACAGACCTGGTTATCAAAAAACTTAATCAATCTGGTATAAAACTAAATAAAGACAAGTGCACTTTTTGCAAAGATACAATAAAATTTCTAGGGCATCTGTTTACCAATTCAGGTCTAGGGGTTGACGAAGAGAAGGTAGAAGCTATCAAACATTTGGAGATTCCTTCATCAAAAAAGCAAGTCCAAAGACTTCTAGGAATGGTGAATTATCTTGCCAAATTTATTCCAAATCTGTCTGAGTTAACAGCACCGATACGTGAACTTATAAAAAACAATGTTTGCTTTAAATGGGACTACGAACAGGAACAAGCTTTTTCAAAAATCAAGGAACTGCTTATATCTCCACCCATTCTTAAGTATTATGACGTTAATGCAGATGTCACCATACAATCAGATGCCAGCGAAAAATCAGCGGGTGCAGTATTATTGCAAGATGATAAACCAGTTGCTTATTTTTCGAAATCCTTCACTGATTCTCAACGAAACTTTCCACCAATTGAGAAAGAAGCTCTAGCTATTCGTTTTGCTTGTCAGAAATTCCATTCATATATTTTTGGAAAGAAATTAATAATTCAGACTGATCACAAACCATTAGAATCCATTTGCAAAAAACCTCTTTGTTCTGCTCCTCCTAGATTACAACGAATAATCTTTGATATTCTTCAGTATTGTCCACAAGTGGTGTTGTGATCGTGATTACCTGTATACCTAGATAAACCACGTATGCAGCAACACAGCTTTTAAATTTTTCGGCTCTTCTCTGCTTCGGCTAATGGACTGTCGTAATTTCCTTATGGAATAAAACTCGCAAAATCATCGTAGATAACACCTTTTATTTATGACTCTTCATAAATCTTCAGTACACTTATTTACAAAAACTTTTTTACATATTTATTTACATTCTAAATACTATCTTTGCTGAGAAAAACATTTTTTTTAAAATAACATTTTTATGTTGTGTAAGAGCGAACTCAATACACGTCTGTTTGCTTCGGTGACTTGTTAAAAAGTGAGTTAAAAAATAACATTTTTATGTTGTGTAAGAGCGAACTCAATACACGTCTGTTTGCTTTGGTGTCTGGTTAAAAAGTGAGTTTCTTTTTTGGTTAGCTACGTATATGTTGAGGGAGATAGAAAGCGATAGAGGGAGACAGATGGAACAAATGCATAGTGCCGGCTAGTCAGGTGTGATCCTGTTTGCACATTCACGTGGGTAATGTCACGTAGACCATGCAGCAGGTGTTTACAACGATTTTTTATATATATTCAACGGACCACCCAAAGTGTGGTGCGCAGGACCGGCTTCAAATGTTTTGATATGTTTTGATTTCGAAACATCCTCCCCCCACGAAAAAGAGGTCAGATGAATAAGTGAAGTTTAAATAAATGTATTGATTGTTTAAATGTATTTAAGCTACAGCATTGGTTTCAGTCTGGACCTGCTGGCGAACACATCCCACTTCAGTGTCCTAGCCCTATCCCTGTGACCTGATGTACCTTGCTTATGCTTTTTACTATATACAAATAATGAATTGGAACATTGGAACGTTAGAATGATTGAAGGAATGTGATTAGAACAATTAGTAATATGAGCGCTGAAACTATATTCAGGCTTTAGAAGGGGTCTACTATAAGATCACCCTGTATATAATGAAACGAAAAGAAATATGAGCACTGAAACTATATTCAGGCTTTAGAAGGTGTCTACTATAAGATCACCCTGTAACGAAAAGAAATATGAGCACTGAAACTATATTCAGGCTTTAGAAGGTGTCTACTATAAGATCACCCTGTAACGAAAAGAAATATGAGCACTGAAACTATATTCAGGCTTTAGAAGGTGTCTACTATAAGATCACCCTGTAACGAAAAGAAATATGAGCACTGAAACTATATTCAGGCTTTAGAAGGTGTCTACTATAAGATCACCCTGTAACGAAAAAAAATATGAGCACTGAAACTATATTCAGACTTTAGAAGGTGTCTACTATAAGATCACCCTGTAACGAAAAAAAATATGAGCACTGAAACTATATTCAGGCTTTAGAAGGTGTCTACTATAAGATCACCCTGTAACGAAAAGAAATATGAGCACTGAAACTATATTCAGGCTTTAGAAGGTGTCTACTATAAGATCACCCTGTAACGAAAAAAAATATGAGCACTGAAACTATATTCAGGCTTTAGAAGGTGTCTACTATAAGATCACCCTGTAACGAAAAAAAATATGAGCACTGAAACTATATTCAGGCTTTAGAAGGTGTCTACTATAAGATCACCCTGTAACGAAAAGAAATATGAGCACTGAAACTATATTCAGGCTTTAGAAGGTGTCTACTATAAGATCACCCTGTAACGAAAAAAAATATGAGCACTGAAACTATATTCAGGCTTTAGAACAAAAAACTTTGTAAAGAGGGATTAGTAACCCAAGAGTGTCCTTATTTTAGGATCACCCTATATAAATGTCTCATTTTAGAGTACATTATGTAAAAGTCGAAGAGAAAGAAGGTAGATAATAGAAGAAACGAAGAAATTAAAAACCGCGGAACTCGAGGACAACTGAATTGTCCGAGACTCCTTTTATTTATATTTTACCCCTAAACAGCCCCCGGGTTATGGCTGTTAAAATTAAATGTACTACAGTCCGCAATATTATGGTTTGGGCACGGAATCCTTAGGTACCTTGTGCGAGATACTTCCGGATCCAGGCCATGGGTGGGTTTCACCGCGTCGCACTGACGGGTGTCGCCCTGTATGCGCGTAACGCAACATACAGTGGTTTGCGGACTTGGAAGAAGAAGATAGAAAAGATTGACTCTAACTGTTGATAAAAATAAGCAAAAAGGAAAGTTAAAACAAGGCGGTGAAATGATCAGTTGCTAAATAGCCAACTGTCTAAGGTTGAACGTCGTCATACCTGTGCAAAGGTACCACCTTGGTGATTGGTCTTATGCTAATGCTGCCATTTGATAAAATTTTGAGCGACCGAACATTACCGTCCTTACCGGGGTAGGTTTCTAAGACCCTGGCTAACGGCCAAACAAGAGGCGGAGACTCTACATCTTTTAATAATACAATATCATCAGGTTTTAAATTTATTTGTGTAGTCAACCATTTTGGTCTATTTTGTAATCGATTTAAATAGTCCTTGGACCATTTTTTCCAGAAATTCTGTTGTATATGAGTGCATTTTTGCCAAAAGGAAAGTCGATTAATTGATAAATTGGATATGTCTTTTTCTGGAAAAGACGTGAGAGATGTGCCGATAAGAAAATGTCCTGGAGTTAATGGCTGTTCGTCGAGAGGGTCATTTGAATTTGTATATAAGGGACGTGAATTTAAAATAGCTTCGATTTGAGATAAAATTGTAGAGAGTTGCTCGAAAGTATGAGTGTTATTACCTATGATTCGAATTAGATGATACTTTGCGCTCTTAATGGCGGCTTCCCAAATTCCTCCCCAGTGTGGCGCTCTAGGGGGAATAAATTTCCATTGAATTTCTTTAGTAGATAAAAAGTTGATAATTGAAGTTGAATTTGAGGGTTTTTTGAAAAATGAATAAATGTCTTTGAGATAATTATTTGCTCCTTGAAAGTTGGTAGCGTTATCACTATAAATTATAGAGGGATTGCCCCTTCTGGAGATAAAACGTTTAAGAGTAGCGATAAATGCCTCAGTTGTGAGGGCTGAAACTAATTCAATGTGCACTGCTTTTGTGACCATGCACACGAAGACTGCAATATAACATTTAGAGACGGGAGCTTTCTTTAAATTTGAAGTTTTTATGAGGTAAGGACCTCCGAAATCTACACCTATTTTTTGAAAAGGACGAGAAATTGTTACCCTGTCAGCCGGTAAGTCAGCCATTATTTGTTGTGCTGTTTGAGCATTGAATTTAAAACAAATTGTACATTTAGAAATAATACTCTTAATTTCACGAAGAGCGTTAAGTGGCCAATATCTAAGTCTAATATTTGACAAAACATTTTGAGGACCACTATGTCCTAATCGAATATGTTCAAGACTAAGTATTAATTTGACAACATGACATTTAGAGGGTAATAGTATAGGATACTTTTGAGAATATGGTATGTTTGCATGAGATAACCTGCCCCCTACTCTAATGATACCGTCTGTATCTAAAAATGGTTTTAACGATAAAATTTGTTTGTCTGCAATAACTAAAATATTTTTTAAAGTATTGATTTCTTTTGAAAAG